AGAATACAACCAAAAATTTCTAGACTTAGACTTAACTTCTTACTGCACAAGAATATAAAATACTATTTTGAAACAGAGGGGTTAAACTGCTACAAATAACCTTCTAAGGTACCAGAAGACATTATAAAGGAGCATTACTTAAAATTACATAGACCAACACTAAAATGAATGGATGAATCTATGAAATAAAAACAAGGCCCAGAAACATATATTTAAAAGCTGAGGCAGGAGGATGATCACATAAGCCCACTGAGTTTGAGGTCAGCTTAGGTAACATAGTCAGATCCTATCTGAAAGAGAGAGAGGGAAGGATGGACTTACCATGTAATAAGAGTTATCGCTGAACAAAGTAAAACAGATTTAAATTAGGGAGACAGTCAAACCATTTCCCCAGTTATGCCAAATGTACAGCCCAACACTGCTTGACCCACTATTCCCTGCACATTTACCAAAGGCCATTTGTACAAGGTTCTAGGCCAGGTACTAGTCATGCAGGGCTCGAAAGAAACTATCCTCACTTTCGAAAGGTTCTTCTAGAGATGAAAGTAAAGTAACGCTGAAGACGCAACTTCCCACTCTAACCAGCTGGTTATGAAGGGTTCTTCTTCTCTGTCTTCCTGCTGACCGGGGAGAAGGTAGCTGACCGTCACTCACACCAGGAGAAGAGCACATCCCTCACTGGCCAGGTCTGGAGGTGTTTTCTGACTAACACAGGCTCAGGAAAGTGCTTTTGAAGCACACATCACTTAAAAGCAGAGCTCGCTCCCAGCCACCCCCTTTCTACAGGCAGAATCGCCCGCTGTGTCCGAAGCTTATCCTCTCAGCAGACAGTTCTTTCCCCTGGTGGTCAGGGATATGAATGCTAAAGACACAAAGATGGCAGCTAAGGTTGTGACCAAGTAAGAGTCATGTGCTTAGAATATTCCAGGCTACAGCTGTAATTTCCAGCACCAAAATGAGAAATGTATGAAAATACAAAGAGAAAGAAGACATTGCAGGCCTCAGGCATCTTAACTGAGGGCACAGTGACAGCTACAGAGCATCTGCTTTATGCCCAGCCCTGGGGACAGAGCTGACAGGTGACAATCCTCACTCATCCTGTAAGAGTGAACAGAAACATTCACCTTAGTGCTGTTTGAAGTCAGGAAAAGCTAGGAACAACCTGCGAGCTCATCATCAAGGAAGGGTCCAACTTACTAAAACTTATAGTACATTCCAACAGAAACAAGTGAGCCGTCGCTACAAACTGGAATAAGTAAGCTGCAGAAGCACTCAGCAACCCAGCACCCAGGAGGTGGAGGCAGGTGGGGGCTACACATTAAGACGCTACCTCAAAAAAAAAACAAAAAAAAAACCACACTACAAACCTCCTAAACAAACAAACAAACAAACACAAAAAGTAAACATGCAGATAGGTCTGTACGTAGGGCCATGAAAGATGATCAATTCTCCCAATCAATCAAGTGAAAATGGCAGAAGAGTATGCTCAGTGTGAGCCAATATTTTAAAAATTACTTATGTAGATACATATAAGCACCATATTTGTCTATTATTAACAGGTTTCTTCTGAGTGGCAGGCCTCTGTCTCTGCAGTTGAGCTCATGCACCAAGAGGCTGCACGGAACAACCCTAACAGCAGCAGTGTGTGGGGCTGGGCCCTTCCCATCACCTGGTCCTCACCATATCTTCTGCCCTCCAGCTATCAGAGAGAAGATGCCGTCCTGTGTCAAATCCAGGGGTCTTCTTCCTTCTGAACTATTTTCTCCCAATCCTTCTTGGACGGACACTACCTGTTCCATGCGGGGTATGTGCTCACCCCAGACACTAACTCTCACTTACTTGAGAACCCCAGCTTTCTTTTTCTACCTGCTTGTCCCAGGTAATCTCACCTGCTCCTATGGTTCAACCTCCCCCTGCAAGCAGATGTCTCCAAGTGTGTGTCTCTAGGCCAAAGGCCCCTGGGCATGGGAATGTGTCTCCAGGCTCTTACTGGGCACTTCCTCATTCCAAGCACCCCAGACTCAACATCTCCGCCCACAAATAGCAACACCACCAACTGGAGTGCTCTCCAGTTCTCTCACTCCAAGACACAGGTTCCCCGCTTTAACACTTCCTACACCCTTTCCTTTCTCCCCGTGCCCCTCTCCACTCCTATTGCCCTAACTCACATTCTTATCACCTCTCCCTGGGTCTACTGAAACAGTTACAATTAACATGTTTATAATTCAGAGGAGAAAGTAGCTATTTAAATATTCTAGGCAGGGCTGGCAATGTAGCTCTGTGGTACAGCATCTGCTCAGCATGTGTAAGAACTGGGCAACTTCAGACGGGCGTTGGTGGCGTAGCCTTTAATCCCAGCACTTGGGAGGCAGAGTCAGGCAAATCTCTGTGAGTTCGAGGCCAGCCTGGTCTACAAAGCTACACAGAGAAACCATGTCTTGAAAAACAAAACAACAACAACCCCCCCCCCCCCAAAAAAAAAGAAAAAAGAAAAAGAACTGGGCAACTTCTGTCTGGAATCTGGTCCTTTACAATTCATCTTCTACCCTGAAGCCATAATACTGTTTTAAGGTAATTTGATGGGGATAGGGTGGAGCTCAGTGGTAACACACTTGCCCAGTAACAGGGACAGAAATACTTAAGAGAAAAGGGGCGAGGGGAGGGAAAAAAAAAGTAAGGGAGAATATGAATCACAAAATGCCCTCAAGTTAGCTTCTAAATACAGCATTAAAGCTCTGGATATCCGGGACCACTCTGGCCTTACTCTCCTCTACGTCACCCTCCTCTACAGAAATGAAAACTGCATGTCTGCTTTGGCATCATGCTGTCTGCCCTGTCACACTTCTGAGTCTTAGCTCACATGGCTCCTTCTGCTGGAAATATATTATTTATTTATTATTGTTGTTGTTATTTGGTAGTTGCTGGGCAAATGTTCTACCACAGACCTACATCCCCAGTTCTACCTAGAATAACGAAACACCTACTTTCTCCTCTAAATTGTAAACCTCTTGAGGGCAAAACCTATTCCTTACTCTAGTAATATTCCTAGTCCTCAGCACAGGGCTATTGCAAAAGAGACAGTAAGTGCTTGCTGAACTGAATCAAACTATAACCATTTTTGTTTGTTATGTGTTTGTTGCTTGAGACAAGGTCTCCCCCACCCCACCCCAGCCCTGGCTGTCCTGGAACTCACTATGTAGACCAGGCTGCCCTTGAACTCACACTGCACCTGCCTCTTCCTCTTGAGTGCTGGGATTAATGGTGTGAGCTCCCACACCTGGCTTCCAAATTAGTTTTGTACTAACCCTTAGACACGGATGCAGTTGATTGAGAAAAGCACACAACTGCAAATAAAAGCTCTGCTGTAATAAAGTGAATTCAAAGGTCCTGAGAAGATGACGTTTTTGATTCTGTTCTTTTTCCTGCTCAGAATTTCTTCTGCCCATCACACCAGGTTTTATGCGATTAGTCCATTTACTTAACAAAGAATCAGACCTCTCTACTGTATCCTTTTATAAATGGTAAGCTGAAGCTCAGTAGAATAATTTGTCAAGGTCTCCCAGCTAGGAAGTCCTGAGGCCAGGATTTGATCTGTGTGACTCTGAGGCCACTCTCCGAACCTTTACCATCTTGTACTGCTCCTTCATTAGGGCCTGACACAGTGTTCATGGAGGCTCTACTGAGATAATGCAATGCACCTTCTTAGTTCTCCAACCAGAAGAGGACAGACCCTGAGAAATAACTAACATGCAGAAGGCTTGATAATCACGCCAGGACAATGAAGTCACTGCCTTTAGTCTTC